GGCTCTCCACACGCTTGCATCACCTCAAATCTATGGGAATAAAAGAAAGTTCAATGTTAGTTTCAATTCGAATTGCTCGGATTTTATTGAAGTTTTATTTATTCCAATCAAACCGACTTTGCAACGGGCCAATTGCGTTGTACACATATGTCAAGCAACGTTCCAACGGCATCAACTTCAGTGGTTGGTCGTGGTGTTTGTGGAACTGTCGATAGTCGACTTTTGAATCGATCCATTTGTGCCAACATGCCTAGAATATTTGCAAAAATGTAATCACATCATTCTGAAGCGAGTTTTCTGAAGGGTATTTCACAATATCTGATTTCCTTACTGATAAGATTGGCACTGGCATCATGTTTTGCCTCACGTTTTGACCGTCCAGAGCCTTTGGCAAATAAATTAAATGCCTCAACGACAAATGCAAACATTTTCGGATCATTTTCATGTGGAATGCTCTCATACATTGGAACTGCGCCATTTTCCTGGATGCATAGCTCCTGCAAAACACTGACTGGAGTCTTTTCGGTCATTTCGTCTACGGCTTCGTACGCTCTCTTCAATGGAAACAAAAGCGATTGATTCATCATTTTTTTTTATTATTCGCAATAATTAGTGCAATGAGTCAACAAATGGAGTGCTGGATTTGCAATTTTCAATTGAATTTCACAACAAGAGACACAATTTCCAAAGTACTTACCTTTTATTTCTACGACACAAACACACCAAACAAATGTCAAATATGTACTGCCGCAAGTCATCGACAGAGAAACGTCAAAATGAAATCAAGTTCGAAAATGAAATAGCAGCCTACTTTGTTTACATGCATGACATTTATTTATCAGTGTATATACTTTGTTTACATGCATGACATTTATTTATCAGTGTATATTCAAAACATATGATACGACCAAGGGTATTTTCGTATAAACAAGGTTTTATCAACTGAAGTCGACTGCTCAACACATACTGTTGTTGATGCGAATTCAGCTTTTGTGACAGTCTTTCGCATGCGACGCCAATGTTTACTTTGATGATGATCGTGTTGATAAACAATATGAAAGTCCAAGCAGTTTGGTTTAATTGTATGTGTCGCTGAATTTTTAAACCGGTTTGAATGGATTTTAGGGCCAAAAAGATACAAAAATGATTTGATTCATTTAAATATTTAGAAAAAATTGATTTAAGAAATAATTACACAAACATATTGCTGTCTCTTCAAATGAAAATCAAATCTCTTTATTTTGTCTTCGTATAATAAAATTCGCTTGATATGTCAGAAAATCAAAATTGACATTTTTTTCTTCATTTTTTTTTAAACACTATAAAATATATCAATAACCAATTTTAGCTCAGAATTCAATGTGCTTTAACAGTTTATTATTTTCTTAGCCACAAGTCACTTGGCCCAAGTCTTTGGAAATTCAATTTTTCTACTTAATCGCACGAGATAGCTCTTTAGATTTTGATATAAGAATTGATGTTGGGTTATAGTTAGTGCTCATTTAGTGCTCAATATGGCAAATTTAATTAAAATAAAATAGATTATGCATGCAAATGGAAATGCAACTCGAAAAAGTTGCGAATCAAAACGATATAAAATCTAACAATTAATGATGGAAAATATATCGCTGGAAAATGATGGAAAATGATGGTTAATTTTGTTATTCGAACTAAGTGACACGCTCGCACGTCGCACACATTTCACGTTCATTGGACCATATTATTCAATGTGATCGTTTGATTTAATCTCCTTTGTAAGGAACGTATCGAATGGTTGAGTCGATTTTTGAATTAACAATAAGTTTTGAGTGTGAATTGAAATGGCCAATCTATGAATGAGATAACCAACGAGACACTTACTTCATGAAACATATCGTGTATCTATAAGTGTATTTCATTCTATATCGTCATTGAATACAAAGACAGCCATGTATTGCCAACATAACTTCGTATATGGACTGTCATTTAAACAAAAATGCTGGAAAATGATTTTGGCAGTTGATAAAACTGGAATAAATGTATGGAAAATTAAAAGTTGTTGTTCATTTCATTGATGCGCTCTCGTTTTTCTGCTAAATTTTGCATTTTCAGCATTGTTTTAAAATATTCGACGATTCTGCTGAACAATTTGTTCGAATGTTCGATGAAAACACAATCATATTTGGTGTCAATCAAACAAAATCGCAAATAATTGGGTGGCGTTTTCATTGGTTTAATTTCATATTTTAGGTTGAGTACTTTGCAAGTTTGGTCAACCATTTCTTTGGCGCTTACCACATCCGAACGATTGGTAAGCACCTGTTGCGCCATTCGCCTGTCTCCTGCCGGCAAATTCATGAAGAAATTCTTGCGATAGCGCAGCCCATCGACAACAGGCTGAAGATATGGCTTCTTCAAGCGACGATACTCCGCCAAAACCTCTTCAACAGTTGGCAAATTCATGAGCGGAAGGACATTCGGTACCACTTCATTGCTACAAATCGAGCTGGAATCACACGATGTAGAATCCTCCCTTTCCAGTTGAGCTTCCAATTTTTTTAACATTTCCTCTGAGGCGATGCGTTTAGCCTCCTTCTTCGTTGCGGCAACACCATAGGTTTCATTGGTTCCCAATTTGCAGCGATATGTAAATTCCGGCTTATGGCTTCCTTCACCTGTTACCGATATCTCTTCAATACTTTGAATTGCAACAAAAGAAAGCAGCAAAAATAATTATTAAAATATTAAATACTGAGCGAATGGGAAAGATATCCAATTGAAATTCATACACGGGTTGCTGTAATTCATGTTTCATGCATAAGCTTAAAATTGCCCCAAAATAATTGTCCTTTGTTCCAGGCGGCGGCGGTGGTGGTGGTGGTGGGAGCGGATCGATATTGAGTTTGTTTTTGTACTTGTCAGTACGAGACAAACCCTCTATGAAATTGATGGAAAGCAAACATTAAAATGTAGAACAATGATATGAGGCGAAAGCCAATGTTCACATTAAATTTTATCTTTCAAGCACAATCAATGGACTTTGCACTTACCGATGAGTTGTTGGCTAGCCGCATGCTTGGCTTCTTTTTTTGTGCGCCCGGAACCTTTGGCAATCAAATTGAATGCTTTGACAAGCATTACGAATTCACTTGGATTGCTACCATGAATAACGGGTTCATATTGCGGGGGTGCGACTTTTTCCTGAGTACAAAACTCTAATAAAATACTGGTAGCGGTTTTAGCCGTCATTTTTTCAATTCTTCTTCTCCCGGTCCACCAAAGCACTTCCCACTGTTCACTTGTCGTGGAACAAATCCATATAAACACATCAAATCACCCGAACGTTGTAATGTGAGCGCGATTCGTCGTTGACGTGACGTCGTCTAACAACATTGATCTCGTTCTGCACTCTATGCTATGACGATTTCACAATACAGTGAATTGAAAACAGCGCTAGCAACACAAATTCGAAAGTCATAGATTCGTCCGAATCGAAATTTGTTATTCTTTTTCGAAATGTCAAAACCTAACCTTCAAAATAGAAATGCATCGTTTCACAGTTGGTTGCAATACATCATCGACGAAACATCAACATACTCAAACTGTTGAAGAAAATATAAGGAAAAAGTCCCATTTCATTGTGTAATAATTGGCAAAAATGTCGTCAAAAGATGAACAAATCAAACATGTTGACAAAGATTTGGATTTGTCAAATGCGGGAAGAGGTGTATGGCTTGTGAAAGTGCCGAAATATTTAGCAAACAAATGGGAAAAAGTGCCCGGTTCCACTGAAGTTGGTAAATTGCGCATCACCAAGCAGCCCGGACAAAAGGCACAGGTATCACTGTCACTCAACGAAAACATCACAAAAATTGATCCCGAAGAGCCCATTCCGAAAGAGCATTTCTTGGACGTGTCAGTTGTGACGAAGCAAACGTTAGGCGTATTTTCACACACAGCTCGTAAGTAGATCGATTGTTGTTGTTGCTGTTGCTACTGCTGCTACGTAGTTGTGAGAAAAAAATTGGCATTGATTTAACGTGATTGTGAAATTCGAATTTGCTTTCAGAGGGAAAAAGTGATGAGACAAATCCAGAAAGTGAGAAACTATTTATGGAAGGTCGAATCGTTCAGAAATTGGAATGTCGACCAAATGCTGACACAACGTACATGGCACTGAAGAAGGAGTCAATTCGTAAAGCTGCCGAACCCGAACGTAAAGTACAATCATTGGATCGTATTGTACAGAACTTCAAACCGGTGTCCGATCACAAGCACAATATCGAATACCGTGAGAAACGCAAAGCCGAAGGCAAGAAAGCTCGTGACGACAAAGCCGCTGTTCAAGATATGCTGTTCAATGCATTCGAAAAGCATCAATACTACAATATCAAGGATTTGGTGCGGATCACAAACCAGCCGATTGCCTATTTGAAAGAGGTCCTGAAGGAAGTATGTGATTACAATATGAAGAATCCGCACAAGAACATGTGGGAGCTGAAGAAAGAATATCGTCACTACAAGTCTGAAGAGAAAAAAGCGACCGCCACCACACAATCGGCAAGCGCCACACTGTCTGACAGCGACTAATCCAACTCAATACTTACCATCAGCATTACTTATCATTCACGATTACCGGACGCGTGATTATTTTGATTTTTTTTCTACAACTTTTTTCCCCTTGAATAATTATATTTAGGTGTAAATGAATATCACAATCAAAAACAAAGAGAAATAAATGAACAATACTTTGTAAAGTTTCAGTTGGTTTTTACATTTATTCGACAGTTTTAAAATATGCTACAATTCATTTGATGGATTATCGTCTACCAGTGCGCTCTTTGAATACCGGACATTTTATTGTAATCGGTGAGATGACGGAAAACGAATCGACTGATACGCCAGCGGAGAACATTACCCCGTGCACGAGATGTTACAGCACAACGATTTGTTAAATGCGTTATTGACGATCTGTATGGAAGGGCAGCAATCTCAGCGTCAGCCACCTCTTGCAATTCACGCGGTAAAATTGTGTTTTTTCTCAAGGCATTGATACGGAGACGGGTAATATTCTCTTTTTCCACCACTTTACGTCGTAGATAGTCCCGTTTCATACGTGCATCGGCCCATTTTGTTCGGATTTGTTGAAGCTGCACACAGAAAATTTGAGGTTAGGTCAAATGAAAATTGAGTTAGAAATTCAATTTTTCCTTGCTTTTATTGAATAGCACTTGAAATATCATATTCACACCGCATGAACATTACCTCAAATCCAGCAACATGCTGCGTTTTCAACGCAAATGTGGTCAAACGATTGAAAAACATTGTTTTTTTTTCGCAAATAAACTGTATATGTGATACTTTTTTCTACCTCAATGTTTTGCACCGAAATTTCTGACAGCTGATGACAGCTTTGGCCATTGTTACTATAGACTGTCAAATTGTCTATGGTTTCATTTGACAAATATCCACATTCGAACATGTGGGCATTAATGCATGTTTGACAAGAACAATATTTGAACTAAGAAAAATATTGCTTTTACATGGCCCACACCCAGACAATATATTGAGATAATTTCAGCTAGCTATCTAACGCTTTGAAGCTGATTCAGCCGCTAAATTCAATGCGTTACGTTTTTTCAACGCATTTGCAGTACAAAAATGTACATCACAATGGGACGCTAAGATGAAATCTCATCTCAGATTTCATATCTCATCTCAGTGCCGCAATTCTACGACACTTTTTCCGAACCCGAATCATAAACGGTATCTTGTCACAAAAAACAATGAAATCCATTTTTATTAAATCACCGTTCCAACTTGGAGTGATTAGTTCTCTTTCATATTTGCCGAATATATTCGGTTTCATATTGAGTTGACAGAATAATTTCAATTAAAATGGTAAGTTTCGAGGATTTATTCGGCAAATATGAAAAAGAACTAATCACTCCAAGTTGGAACGGTGATTTAAGAAGAATAAATTTCATTGTTTTTTGTGGCAAAATTCCGATTCTGATTCGGATTCGGCAAAAGTGTCGTAGAATTCCGGCACTGAGATGAGATATGAAATCTGAGATGAGATTTCATCTTAGCGTCCCATTGTGATGTACATTTTTGTACTGCAAATGCGTTGAAAAAACGTAACGCATTGAATTTGGCGGCTGAATCAGCTTCAAAGCGTTCAGATAGCTAGCTGAAATTATCTCAATATATTGTCTGCCCACACCGATTCCAATATTTTGTGCGTAATTTGTGCATGCCATTTCAGCCGGTCCCTGAATTTGTGCACACCATCAGAGCCCTGTATCGACCCAAAATGGCATTTTCTTATGCAAGTACGAATAAATAACTTTTGATTGAACGGATCGCAATCGGTCTGATGGTTTCATGTAGTTTTTTCTGTTGTTGTCTGGCTATGGATGGTTGGTCAGAATATATTTCTTATTCAGCTCAGGCAAGATTATTGCAATTAATTTGATTTGATTTCAAATGGAAAAATTATTAGTACTGAAGTAGTGAACAGTAATGCGATGTATTGCAGTCGAATTGAAAATTGTAACTATGGCAATATTTTTGAGTGTATACTGTTGAGCATAAATTGGCAAATGGCATCCACAAATTACGCACAAAATATTGGAACCGGTGTGGGCCATGTAAAAGCAATATTTTTCATAGTTGACTTTTATTCACCACACCCATATTTTGCGAAAATCTGGTCTGGCATTATTTGACCACATAACGCAAATCCGAAGGCATATTCATTATGCACAAATTATGCACAAAATAATTGCATATTCGAACATGCGAAAAAATGCTGCCCCGTCTAGTGGTGAAAATGGCATTTACAGCAAATTCACCACAAAAAGTAGACTCGAAATTTGCACATTTTTCGATTTTTTAGCAAGTTTTATACTTTGATTCCTCATCGCTTCGGTATTTCGCCGCCACCAATTATTGATTCTTATCAAAAGATGAACGAAAAGATTGAACTTTTGAAAAGTTTGTTGAATGTGGAACTGTTAGAAAATCTTCGAGGTGCAAACAATGAGAATCCACTTGATGCTCTCTACCAACGGCTCAGTGTGAATATTGAACCAATGGCTAAAAATTCTCATACATTTTCCGGCATTAATGGAATTGTTCAGGGCACTCACGGTATAACGCACACTCAATATTCACTTGAAGTCTTAGACATATTCATTGTGCAACGCCACGGTGAAGATCAGCGTTTTCAAAAATACTCACGTCTATCGAACTTCGTCGGAATTTTATCAAATGGTTTGAGAATCGCTCCACCAGAAGCTCCAGGTAGAAAAATTCATAGTAAAAATTGACTTTTAATTTTATTCAAGCTAAAAAAATTTCATTGCAGCTTCTGGTTGTATGTTCAACAAGGGAATATACTTTGCTGATGCTATTAGTAAATTGGCAAACTATTGCATAAAGGATGGAAGGCCGACGTTGGATTGCTATTGTTATGTGAGGTTGCGTTAGGCGAAACTCAAGTTCACTATGCTGCAAAAAGAGGTCTTCCAAACGCAACACAACAATCCGTGCGAGCTCTCGGTGCTTTTACACCAACTGAATATGTGAAGATTGATCAGGGTTTAATTTTTCCCATCCGCTCGATAGAGCCTCCATCGATTAAATCGAAAGAGTTTTTCAAAAGAGACTCTTTCAAAAGAATCTTTGCAACAATTTTCAATATTCCGCTACAAGTTACGGCTATAAACTATATTCAAATGATTGGTTTTGATTTATATTTTAATACTATTAAGAAAAAAACTAAAAAAATTGATTTGTTTTAAATTTTATTAAAATAATTGATTTCGTTTGATCCATATTTTGACAATCGTCGTACAATGATTTGTGACATTTCACCATACACTGCAACTTCATGCCATACTTGACATTTATACGATTGTCAAAATGATCGTTTTAATGAAATCAATAATTTCAATAAAATTTAATACAAATCAATTTTTTTAGTTTTTTTTCTTCATAGTATTAAAATATAAATCAAAACCAATCATTTGAATATAGTTTACAGCTGTAATTTGTAGCAGAATATTGAAATTTTCGCAAAGATTCTTTTGAAAGAGTCTCTTTTGAAAAACTCTTTCGATCTATGGAGGCTCTATCGAGCGGATGGGAAAATTTAAACCTTGAGATTGATGGAGTGAATGCTGCAGTTGGCGGTTTGCAACGAGTTCCATACCAGTCAACCCTCCTGTACAACGAATACGTAAGTCATTTGAATGAACATATGCTTATGATTGAACCATTGATTTTTCTGTATTTTCCAGGTGGTTTATGATCCAGCTCAGGTCCGAATCAAGTACTTAGTGAAAGTGAAATTCAACTATAAATAAGTCACGGTTTTTGAATAAAACCGATACGAAAAGCAGAAGAAAAAACAACAGAAAAATAGCAGAATTTGTCTCATAGCCACTCGATACTGCTCTGCCAGTCGTCGCCGTAGTTATTTTGGTTGTTATTGTTGTAGATTGATATTGAAGCCAATCATTGTATATTGTAAATAATTGTCTTTAATATCTAGCGAAAAGGACATTTTTGAAAAAATCTCGCTATGATAGAACCTAACAAATAAGACAAAAACAGAAAATTCTGTATGTCCATGATATTGTCATGCTGCCATCACTGCTCAAACTAAAGGATCTTGGTTTCTGTGTTAACTTGACTGAATTACGCAAAAAAGGATTAAATGTGAACGAAATCTTCAAATTGTGCGTTAACCTCCAAAGATTGTTTATTCGGGTGACATCTGTTGATGACATTTTGCCGTTAATTCGTCATTCACAACATTTGGTGGACATCAATATTAGAGGCCTCAACGACAAATTAATCGACATCGCAGCACTGAATAAAGAACGGAAAAATCTGGATGGAGCACGAAAAGTAACAATATACGTTACAGAGGACGTTTACTTGGCGACAAAATGGGCAGGAGTGGAAATCAACCTCGAGTTGATCGAAATACGACGCCGTGATTCTTACGCAGTCAAACTGCCACACACATTACGATCATTTTATTCTAGAATAGAATAGTCCGATGGGCCGAAGATTCTAATTATCATTCAAGATGTCAAAGCTCAAGTCTCGCTGCTATTCAACTAAAACAATCTAAATAAGAAAAAAATCCAAAAAATGAACCATCATTCCATAAGGTAATGTCTTCTTGAATGGGACTCACTTTGGCCTAATTTTCTAACTTTCACTAGTGGAAATATTTTTGAGAATGTGATATACCGTTGGAAAGAGGACCATCAAAGGAATCTTTTTCCCCAAGACAGTTCTTCGATTACATTACAAAAAAAAAATTATCGCAAAATTTCAGACCACACCAAAAATGGCCAAAAAAAATTTTGTCTTCTTGAATGGGACACTCCAAAAAACTCAGAAATATGTGTGAAAATGAAACAATATCATCATATTTTGATGGTTTATTCAATGTTTATTCATTTAATCGACTTTTGGATTGTAATCAGTGACAAAAGTGATGGAGAATGATGTTTATTCGTCGTCTTCTGGCTCTTCGACTTCGTCGGAAATTTCGTCCAAGTTCTCATCGCAGTGTTCACATACGAAACGAGCGGCATTCGCTTTGGCGCATTTCTTGTGCACAACTATGCCACATTTCTCGATGCATGCGACCGTATTCATCAGGTTTCGCGGCAAAAATTGCGAGCAAATAATGCAAAAATCTTGATCTTCAGATGAAGATGAACGCCTCTGACGTTTTACTGGTGCTTTTCCTGTTGATGCTGATGCCATTGCCTTATCGGCTTTTTCTGCTTTCCTCTTTTCGGCCTTTTCTTCAACAGCATCACGTTTGGCTCGTTTTTCTTTCAAATTGGCAAGATTTTCTGGTGATGTAAGGATAGTGCTTTTTGATGGCTTCGGTCCACGTTTCTTTTGAGGTGTTGGACTTGGTGTTGGTGTTTGCAATGGGCCAATATTGTCCAAAAGCAAAGATAAACCAGTAGAACGAGACACTGACGTAGGAACTGTCGGTGCTTCAGAAGTTGATACTTCGCTTTCCGCACCCACTTCAGGTGCAAAACCAATGACAATCTGCCGCGGATTGTCTTCATCTTCTGGATCTTGTTCTGCCA